AGGTTAAAATAGTTTTGACAGTGTCTTTAAGTGCACCTCTTTGTCTCCAAACATAATTAGTGTTTAAAATGAAGCCCTCATAGTTAAGGTTTTGTGGCTTAGACAGCAGCTCCATCTGGTGCTGGCTAAAGGTGTTTGCTTGGTTCATCTCTTGGTTTTATAGCAGATGAATACAGATGGACACAAACTTGTAAATGAATGTCATATGCAAGATGGGTTTCCAGTGCACACAACATTGACATAAGCAAATGATGTTCCCAGTGAGTCTCATTTGGCTATTCCGTTGATAAGTGATAGGTGCTAATCAATTTAGCCATCTTTTGACTGAATTAACTTCCTTTTACTTGAAGTGGGGAATTATTTTTTCTATTATCTACTAGTATCTGAAAAAGCAAATATATTGTACTACTTACAAAGGGAAAGCTTAATCCCACTCTTATCAGAGGTCTGTTTCTCTTGGTTAACAAGATATCATGCCAAGGTGCCTTATTCTTTTTTGCATTCAGTGCTGCATAGTGCTAAGTACACAGGGAATTTTTCAATTTAAATTCTTGGTGACTGACAGGAACTGCCCTCAAACTGTTAATAGAAGTTACTTCTGAATAATAGGTTTACATATGGTTTCTATTTTCTTTATGCTTTTCTGAGTTTCCACAGTAAGCATATAAAACAAAAGAAAAAAATATCTACCAAAAAATGTAAAAACAAAACCTATTGTAGGTAGCTGTAGCCTTGAGTCCCAGTTCTGGGTCTTTCTCATTTACTATGTGTCTTTAGTAAAGTCACTTTCTCTTCTGGGCTTCAGTTCGGTTCACTTGTCCATAAAACACAATTGAACTAGGAACCTGCACAGTTTTAACGTTCTAAGTATTGTGTTTCTTCCCGCTCTCCTGTGTTTTCAGCCTCTCACCCTGGCCTATATCTTTCCCCAATATTATCATTCAACATTATCTGGATTCTCCCATCTTAAAGTAAGGAAATCCTTTCTGGACCCCTGTCCTCCTACCTCCTCCTTGCTTCTCCTTCCTGTCTACTCTTCTCTAAAAGCCATCTACCATTGCTCTATTACCTCACTCTTCAACTCACCGCAGTCTGGTTTCCATCCCCACCACTGAACCAAATAGTTCATGCTAAGGTCACTGATGAGCTCACATTGCCAAGTCCAGTGGGCTTGTATGTCACATTTGAAATAGTTATTGCCTTTCTCCTTCATGACATTTCCTCATCTGGCTTCTGTGCCGTCACACCCTGGCTGACAGTTTTCAGTTAGGGAAGAAGAATTGGCCACTTCTCCTTGGCTCACCCACCAGGACCACCTCCTCAGCTCACTCCTTATTTTCTTTTTGGCCTAGATATATATATATATATATATATATATATATATATATATATATATATATTTTTTTTGAGACAGAATTTTGCCCTTGTTGCTCAGGCTGAAGTGCAGTGGTAGAATCTCGGCTCACACCGCAACCTCCGCCTCCCAGGTTCAGCAATTCTCCTACCTCAGCCTCCCGAGTAGCTGGGACTACAGGCACCCGCCACCATGCCCAGCTAATTTTTATATTTTTAGTAGAGACAGGGTTTCACTATGTTGGCCAGGCTGGTCTTGAACTCCTGATCTCATGATCCGCCCACCTCAGCCTCTCAAAGTGCTGGGATTACAGGTGTGAGCCACTGCACTCGGCCTGGCCTAGATATTTCTATACTACTAATTTCTAAGCATGTGAGAACCACAGAATTCTCATTCATGTTTCAGACTCCTAAATTCGTATATTCTCTTATATTCAGGCTGACAAAATATGGACTCATAATCTTCCCTTTAAAAGTTGCACGTCCTCCAATGTTGTCATCTCAGTAAATGGCTCCACAAATCATTTGAATACATAAGCCTCAGTACCTCTTACTCTCTTCAAAATCCAGTGATTCCTGCATCTTCCTCTGCCTTCCCTGACACCACATCCTAATCCAGATACTCATCCGATCTTAGTTTGCCAATGTCAGTCCTCCTAAGCAGTCTCCCTGCCTCCTGTCCTGTTCTCCTCCAGTCCATTTTCTACATAGGAGCAGAGCTGTCTTTTTAAAGTCAGATTTATTGAGGGTAAATTTACATGTAGCAAAATTCACCTTTTTTAGTGTGTGGTTCTATGAGTTGTTTGTTTGTTTTTCAAGACAGAGTCTTAGACTGGGGTGCAGTGACATGATGCAGCCTCGACTCACTGCAACCTCCGCCACCCAGATTCAACGAATTCTCATGCCTCAGCCTCCCAATTAGCTAAGATTACAAGTGTACGCCATCATGCCTGGCCCATTTTTATATTTTTGTTAGAAACAGGATTTCACCATGTTGTCCATGCTAGTCTCAAACTCCTTGCCTCAAGCGATCCACCCACCTTGGTCTCCCAAAGTGCTGGGATTACAGGCGTGAGCCACCACACCTGGCTGGCTCTGTGAGTTTCGACAAATGTATACAGTTGTGTAACCACTGCCACATAACATTTGGATTGTTTCCAGCTTTTGGCTGTAAACCTTTGTCTATTGGTTTTAGTGTAAACAGAAGTTTTTATTTATCTTGGGTAAATACCTAGGAGTAGGATTGCGGGGTTCCAAGGTAAGTTTATAATTAACTCTTTAAGAAACTATAAAACTGTTTTTCAGAATACCTGAATCATTTACATTCCCACCAGCAATATATGAGAGTTTCATTTGCTTCACATCCTCGCTAGCGCCAGTCTGTTTTTGTTTTAATTCTATTTTAGCCATTCTTATAAACATGTAGTGGTAGCACATTGTAGTTTTAATATGCATTTCCATGTGGCTAATTATATTCACTCTTTCACATGTTTAAATGCAATCCATGTATCTTTGGGCATGGTGGCTTGTGCCTCTAATCCCAACACTTTGGAGAAGCCGAGGCAGGTGGGTCTCTTGAACCCAGGAGCTTGAGACCACCCTGGGCAACATGGAGAAACCCTGTCTCTACAAAAAATAGAAAAATTAGCCAGGCATAGTGGCAAGTGCCCATAGTCCCAGCTACTCCAGAGGCTGAGGTGAGAAGCTTGATTGAGCCAGGGAGGTTGAGGCTGCAGTGAGCTATAATCATACTACTGTACACCAGACAGGATGACAGAAAGAGACCTTGTCTCAAAA